AGTTAATGCCCTTATAAGAAGAGGGACAAGAGAGCTTGTGCCATCTCTCTGTTCACCACCATGTGAGCAAACCATAAGAAGACAACCATCTGTACACTAGGAAAAGGGTTCTCAGACCCAGATCTGCTGGCGCCTTGATCTTGGACTTCTTAGCCTCCAGAACTGTGAGAAATGTTTGCTGTTTAAGTCACACAGTCAATGCCAATTTCTCAGAGCAGCGCAAACAGCCTAAGACAGAAGGCTGCGCTGGGTGGGTGATATTTGAGCACAGACCTGAGAGTGATGGGGGAGATAGAGGAAAAGCAAGTGGAATGATGTGGAGGCTGGGGATGTCTGAGGGGCAGCTGGATGTGTGGCTGGACCTGAGAGAAGGACCAGGCAACTATCGGAGAATGCAATGAGAGCAATACTGGGATGCCAAGTTCTATGGAGCCTCAAAAGTGAGAGTGAACCTGGCCAATTCATCAGAGTGACGTAGGAAGCCATTGGAGGGTTTTGAGCCCAAAGATGGATGTGATAAGATTCACAGTTTCACAGGATCATTTTGTTGGTCTTCCTTGTTGAGAAGAGACACAGTGTGCATGGTGGAGGCAGAGGCACCGGTGATGAGGCTTTGTGGCACACCAGGTGGGAAATGATGGGGAAGTGAGACAGGATGATGTCAGTAGGGGTGGTGAAACGTGGTAAGAATCAGATTCATGATGAAGCTAAGAGATTGGGCGATAGATGAGATGTGGAGTATGGAAGGAGTGTCTGGGTGAGTCGCAGGTCTTTGGCCTGAGTAATTAATTGGAAGGATGGAGTTGAAATTAACTTAGTCCGGACAGACTGCAGATAAAGTTTTTGGAGAAAAGAGCAGTAATTTGATTTTGGAAATGGTAAGTTTGAGATGCCTACTGAACATTCCTGTAGAGGTGTATAGTAGACCATTGGATCTAGGAGCCTGGAGTTCCAGGAAGAGATCTGGACTGGATAAATAATTCTGAGTGTTGTCCCAATGTAGATGGTATTTTAAGGCACAAGACTGGGTGAGGTCCCCAAAAGAATGTGTGTGTATGTTTGGGTTTTTTTGTGTGCGTGGTTTTTGTTTTTTTTTTTTTAAATAAAGTAGTACAAGGCATCTTTCAGAAACATGGTGAAGATGAAGGTCATACTGTGCAGTACATCTGTTTTGCTACTTTATGATAACAGAGCCCTTCGTCAGGGCCATCCAGGACCAGTTATGGTTCAGAGAATAAAGGCTCAGTGTTACAGCTTTACTGTAATTTCAAATGAGCCAGATTTGCATGAGGAAAACATCAAAATTATCCCAATATTTGGATCCCCCTTTATTAAGGTTTATAAGACAAATATGATTATAAGGAGAACATTGGACTTTTAATAGAAGTTGTTCTATTATTTTTCTTTGAACCGAGTCTGATGCAGTTCCCAGCACACATGATGAGCTGCCTCGGTTGCTCCTGACACACAGAAAGTAGATGAGCTGCCTGATCTCTCGGGACCTACCTCTCTTCTTGCAGAGAATGTGCTTAACCTCCTCCAGCCTCATTTCCCTCAGAGCAAAGGAAGGCTTGGCATGTCTCTCATTTCTAAGTCTCTTACTCTTACTTCATCACTCATTAGCATCGGCTTTAACTGCACCTTGGGTAGAATTCTATTGCTTTAGGACAAAGCTTTTGTGATCTTTACACTACGTTTGCATGTTAAATAATCTTGGTTTGGAGGAAATTTTTTTTTTTAATTTTAAAAGAGCTCAATCACCAGATACTGTGATGTTCATCCTTTTAACATAAATATACAAAATAGTATTTAGTAAATTTTATTTACATTTCTCCTAATTTATATTTAATATCCTTATAGATAATTTTCCATAAAGTTTTTTTTTTTATGTAATGTCACATTTTTATTCCTAAGTTTCTAGTACTTTAAGATGTAGTTTCAAAATAAAATTTCCAAATTATTTTGCAATTCAATGTATTAGATTTAGAAGTTTCTCAGGAAGAAGAGATATCTGCTTTTTGCACGTTCAGTTGTCATTCTGTTTCTTGTCTATTATTTTTTTCATTACATTTCAAATTCAAAGGAGGATTGGGAATAGCTAGTATATGCTAAAGAGAGCTGACTCCTGCCCAGGTATCATTCTAATTAACAGTTGCAGAGTGAAAGAAGTCTTGGTGTTACCAGTGTTCTAAGGAGGCAAATGAGACTCAAGAAGATTGAACTTGCTCAAAGTTGTATAATTTATCACTTGGATCTGACTAGAGAGACCAAGATATTTGCATTACCCCTCATACAGCCACCATATCTTATTTCAGATCCTTACATATCTTACTTCAAATCCTGATTTTTATACATTGCTTATGGCCCACTCCATCCATGTGAACCAGTCATATCAAATAATACCTTCCTAAATTTTTATTAATGAGTCCATCTTTTATGCCTGCCATGAAAATTTCCATATTTTTACACTAAACTATTGTAGATAGATTTTGCAGAAACACGTTTATAGAGTCAGGAATAAATTTATGGATAAATAAATCACAAAATCTATAAATTTTTAGTAAGAATCTGCCTTCTTAGGTGCTACTTTACCCATCAATCCAAAAGAAAGGGAAGTTTTAATACATGGAAATTGACTGCATTTATTTCCCATCAATTTCACCATGATTAACATAGTTTAGTGATGGATTTGTAGTCAAGAACACCTTAATACATTACAATCTCATTGAGTTTCTTTGGAGAAATATGCACTTACATATAATAGGGCCAACTGTCAGTCACATTTTTCATGCATGGGACAACCCCAAGTAAGCTATTTACTTAGACTATGGAATTAGTGGCACTTCTGGAGTTATGCAGTACACAACCTCCACAACTCTATACCATGACTAGCATGGTATAAAATTTGTTCCATTTAAAACCATGGAGAAGTTTGAAGTTACATATTGCATAATATATTGAACATGTCATTCATAATAGTAACTGAAACTGTTGAAAATCACATTAAAACACCTAATTACATAGGATATTATGACAGAATTAGTTACACCCAATATATATTTGTCTATGCCCTATCTCTTACCCAAAATTATTTGAGGAAGATTATAATTATGTGGATACATAAACACTTATGTATATATTTATGTATCCAAACATAGTCTTTATATGTAAACATCATATATATTTAGATATTCTGTGTTAAAATAAACATAGTGGGTAAAAGCATTATACTAGTAACCGTGATGAGTAAAGTGACTGACAGATACCATATACACTCTTGGATTTCCCAACAACCAACATGAGGGAAGCCAGCATTTGCAGTCTTTCTACTTTTTGGAGGAAAATACTCTCAGATTTTCAAAGGGCGAACACAATTCACTATGCAATCAATCCTAAAATAAATTTCTCACATGAACCTTTATTTGAGACGTGGAACACATGTACAAATGCATAGGTTATTGAATAATTACAAATCTTATGCAGTTATTTGTTTTAACATTCAAGCAATTCTGTTAATATTGCTTCTGATAAAAATAATCTCACATGTGGGTGGAATATAGACTATTTAGGAAAAGAGATGAAGTTGGATAGCAATTTGATGGTATGCTTTGACTTGACCTAGAGAGTTTCTAGTCTGTTATACTCAGAGAGAGACATTCTCTATACTTTAAAAATTAGATAAGTTCATATAGAGTCAACACTCTGCTTTAAAACTTGAAAACCCAACCATGTTTCTGTTTGCTTTTTGTTCTGTTTTTGTTTTTCTGAGGTGGATGGGTGGATGGCCACATCATTTCCACATGAATTGAATCACTGAGTCTCCTTCAGGCAAAACCGTATTGTGGTTGTTTTATTTCCTCCAAGAGTCATTTTGATTTTATTTCAGCATTTGCACAAGAGACAAATAAAATCCCAGAGTTCTAAACCTATATCAAAGAGGATTTTATTACATAGAGTTTAGCCCAATGATGATCCTTAAAAAAACATTTCATCTTAAATAGATCTCTCTGTGTGGCCACTAGGATAATTTCAGTGGTGAAATAGCCTTGCATATCTAGACAAATTGACTCAGAATATGCTTTAGAAAACTCATTTTAATGATACCAAAAATGAGCATTAGATTGATAACAGGACTATGAGTCACTCCTAGTTTTTGCATATAAAATCACCCCAGCAAGCAGTAAGGACTCCTCTCCCTGTTTACTTGCAAAGAAAATTGTGCATTCAGTTGATCTCTAAATAGTCTCAGACCATTATGGTGTAAATTAAAGAATATAGGAGTAAAACCCTGGTTAACAATATATCACTTGAGATTTTGATCTTATCTTTCAGTGTTCTATTTATGGTAAATATAATTCTTACAGTGCCTTTAAAATGTGTAATTTATGGAAGCAGTAATAGCCAGGGCTTTTGATCATAGTTGATTTCTCTCTAATCAAAAGCCAATGATGGAGTAATAAAAAAATAAAGTTTTATTTTGCTGCAACTTGGTCAATCTGTCCATGAAGGTTTAAAAGGTGGCCAACAGTAAAATGATGGTACCTGGAAATTCTGCAGTCCCTGGTGTAAGATATTGGGTTAAGGTTAAAAAAATAATAATAATTAAGGTGGCATAAACACCATTGACTAAATTCCAAATTTTCAGCGAGTAGAATATTGTCCCTTCTGAAAATGAGTCAGGTTACACTTTGATTCAATTGAGATGGTACTGAATGTGAGGTGTTAATTGAAGGTTTGGTGCCCACCATGCTAAACAGGCTTCAAACTGTTTTGGCTGTCTTTTCTAGTAAAAGCTGGAGGAAAGAGGCCTCCATTTCCTAATGGCAGGACAGCATTTCCAGTTTTCATCTGTCAATAATGCTTGGTGATGGGATATGTGAGCAAGCCTTTCTTAAGTGGCTTTTGAAGAAACTCTTAGAAGTTGTTTGAACATTGTGAGACTGCATAGAGAGCTAATAAAGACCTTGAATCATTTCACCTTTATCTGCTGATCTTTTCAGACATTACTGGTGTTGTTAGAAGACAAAGCAAGGGAAGGACTCATGGACAGAAATTCATATTCATCTTAAGAATGACGGTAAACACAGAATGACTACTGAATAATCAAATTGGAAATCTCTGTACGCTGGCCTACAGAAATAATTTTGTGCTTGCAGATGAGTCTGGCTAGATTTTCCCTTTAGTTGCATATGCTTATTCCTAAGTACAAAATTGTAGAGAAAAGAGTATTTCTCCCAATAGATGCATATGGTGAGCATTTATTAGGCATCAGTCACTGTTCTGTGCACATTTTGTGCATTCTTTTATTCTTAGACATAAACACACAAAAAATATGGTTATCAGTTCTCTTATTTTGTCCTCATTTCACAGGTGAAGAAACAACCCCAGAGATGTAACATAACTCATTCAGCATCCCAAAGCTGGAAAAGTAGGTAGAAGAGGCAGGATCTTGACTCCATTGCCCTATTTTCAGCTGCTGGGTTACACCGCTACTCAGTTTTGCCTATAAGTGGACTTAGTTTTGAGAACACCAAAGAAAATTCTGGACATTAAATCTCCCTTCCCAAAGCAATGCCATTTGTTCAATGATGAAAGATTGTACAGTTTAAATAGCTGTCAGGGGCAAGAGCTTTAAATAGCCTTGATGTGCCTTGGAGAGATGCACACATATGTTAGGATAAGGAGGCATTCAACTCAAAGCCGAGTTCAATACAAATAAAACGAAATAAGCTGCTGGGCCAGAGAGCTCAGTGTTTACTCCTCTGTCACAAGTTAAAATTAATGTTTCTAGGTTAACACTCCCACTTTTTTCACCATATATCCTTAAAATTAAAAGGGTCTGTTTACATGATAGCAATATCATGAAATCCAACTCTTAAAGGCAAAAAATAGCACACTAGCCAGGTGAGGGGCAGCTAATACATTGACTGATTCGGTTATGGATTCAAGGATGCATCCCCAGAAGATTCCAGGTCCTGCAAACTGGAGAACACAAAGCTATCGCTTGCCTTCAAGGGAAACAAACATACAAACAACAAATTACAACTTCACGAGAGGAATGTTTAGGTAAAGATCTATGGAAAGTGAGCTGGGGATATAGAAAAGGTCTGTCTCAGTCTAGGAGGGCATTCTTGGTTGTTTGGAATGCAGGTCTAGAAAGACTGTTAGGTCAATTTCTGCTGATCTGTATTGTGTAAGCAAAAATGTCTGACCTGAAACAAAGCAAATAGACATGAGCTGGGGATTTCTTAGATTCTGAGAGGAGACAGGGATATAAATAAATTGGAACTTGCGGCATAGCATTATTTGGAAAGTATGCATAGAAATTATGTTTATTATGCAGTAAAATCCTGCATACTTTAACAAGAGTGCTTAGCTAAATTTCTTACGTCATGTTTTTGCATGCGTAGGATTAATGACGTGCATGTACATACTCGCACCCTGCCTGTTTGTCATTTGATGGAAGGACATGGCAGAATTGGCTGAGCACCTTCACTGTTTTGCATCTTTGGAATCCTACTCCAGCTACTCAGAACTCCTCACAGTTCCATGCAAAGCACTGAGTCATTCTGGTTCCATGCCCTCCCCATGTAGAAAAGCTGCCTCCCACTTTCGCCTTGCTGTTCCTTCGGTATTTGTTTCAGGCATCACTTCCCCCAGAGAATCTCCCTCATAACCTCACTGTGTGGTTTAGAAATGTGCTCATAGCATCCTGTCTCTATTACACAAATTAACACTCTTCCTTGAAACTGTCTAGTTAACTGTTGCTTGAAGTCTTACTCAGTTTTGATTTCCCAGTACCTGACACAGGACACGGTGTACAGGACTTGGCAACAGATATTTATAACCTAAATGAGTGCTCGAGAAGAATGAGTATTCTGTTGTTTCAGGGGAGAATGTTCTGTATATATCTATGAAGTCCACAGCCTACACGAATAAGTAGCTGTTGCTAATTTTGTTACAGGAATTCCTACATTATCTTTAGACATTCAAATCAGTTACCATAATTTTCCTTCTTTAAACTTTCATACAATCTTTAATGCCATTACTACCTACAGTGTTAACTGATCACAGAACATGCAAGTTGAAAGGAGCTTTGGAGATGGACTAGTTCAAACATTTATTTTACAGATGAGAAAGCAAAGAGTAAGGAAGGTGAAATCATTTATCCAAGAGGACTAAGACGGGAATCTTTATCTCCTAATTGCTTTTATGGGGCTCTTTTTACCTGTTCCACATTATATAATTTCTGACTTAGAGAACAGAATTTTAAGTCATTTTAGAGCTTAAATCATGTCTGTATAATCGTGAGTTTTGTGCAGCACTGTAATAAATGGTAGACACTGAGTAAATGTTGAATTAAATTGCTCCTAACTTCCATGTTTAAGACCGTATTTCCTGCATCTCTTGGAAAGCTTTGGATTTATAATCAATAGTAAAGGGGAAGGGAATTTCTTATAGGGATTATGTGTATAATACTAAAAGTAATAATTCTGAAATTCAAATTGTATCATTGTTTCCTTATAATCCTATCACATAAGAACAGTAAGGTAGATGTTTCAACTCACAACTCATACTTATCAAAATTCTATTTCTTGTGTATCATAACAAAGTGTCTTAAGAATATTCAAACTGAATCTGTAGTATAGTCCATTTTTGAGAACTAAATAGAACAAAGGCTGACATTCTGGAATTGGAAGAGATTTGAGCTCATAATGGTTTTTAAATGGTCATTTTCCCTGAGCAGCAATTAAATCATTCAGCCCACTCTTTTTTTTTTTTCCTCAACCATGGGGCATGTTTAAGGATTAATTTTAATTATAGGGAATAGAGCTAAATATATATGATATGGTTCTATAAAAGGAGGCTATTGTACAACAGAGAAAATATTAATGTGTATACTTACTGTCTTATCTGGCTGTAGTAAATCAATTTGTATTTCATAGCAGATTGCATGGGATTCAAACTCATATGCTATGAAATAGCTGACTTTCAAGTGTATTTTCTATCCATTTTCTTCTTTTGCCTGAACGTGATTGACTATAGCCCTAAAACATCTGGGAAGAGGGAGAGAAAATTCTGAGAAAAGAGAAGCAAATAATTATACAAGGAGCATGAGATGGGAGGATAATGCATTTGGCCTCCCCCTGACCTCTGCTCAGCACCTTCATCCCTCGCCACTGCTGAGCACTAGCTTTCTCATTCCAATCATTCTTACACCACATTAATAAAAAAAAAATCATTTTGGTTATTACAGGTCTAAAAGCCAATCTGATTATGCAGCTTCAGCCTTCACAGAGACATAGGACATCCTATGGCCTGTGTGTGTAAATATCTGAGTTCTTACGTATTTAAGGGGCTCAAGAGGACTTACTTTGGCCCTCTGGATGTCATAAGTTCAATGGAGAACATCTATTTTTATCAACTATATAGATCTACTAGTCATGTGGGAGAAGAGGCAAGTTCCTTTGATGAGAGAATAAAAAGAAGGGAGACAGGTTGGCAAACAAGAGCCTTTCCTGATGTTACCTCCAAAGGGTAAGGAAGTGAGACTATTGCATGAGGAAAAGCTCAAGGAACTCCCCTCTCTGCACCTGGGCTGACATACTGCTCTTGGTGGTGGCCAAGCCCTGTTGGGGCTAATGGGTAGATATTGCTCTGAGCCAGAGTGTAGGAAGGGATATGGAAATGACATCCCGAGGTAAGTTATAAAGGGCGGGTCAGAAACATGTGCTTTGTAAACTAAACTTATTTATTATTTTGTCTACATTCCCCTATTTTTATTTTATGATTTTTGATGGTATTTTTGAACATATTTTTGAAAATACCAGACTGAGCTCTACTCATAAGAACTAGTGAAGGCCTTTTTGTTCCAATCTAGAGATGAAATTTAAGGTGGAACATGCACCTGTGAGGAAGAGCATTTAGGTGGAAGTGGTCATCACTTGCTGAGCATCAGAATAGAAAGAGATGCTCCAGGGAAACACTTTGAAGTTATTCGGCTACTCATCTCTCCCTATTTATACATACACCACCCAGAATTGGAGCCTTGGAGAACTTTGATTGCATTAACAATAAGTGATGAACACTGTATTCAGTCAGAACAGGAAAACCTAGTTAACTGATTGGCAGGGGTGTGTGTGTGTGTGTGTGTGTGTATGCACGCACGTGCATAATATATACACGCACACACACACACTGAGTAATTGGGGGAATTTCAAGGACTTGCAGGTGCTAATGAGTTCTTTTGCTAGGATGTTAAGACAATTTTACAAGTATTTGATAATCTAAAAAATGACTTCAGTGAAGATTTGTGAGAATGTCTATGTGTTAGATCATAGTAAAGCAGTTCAGGTATTTATAGGCTTGATCCATCATGAGACTCTGAATGTGGAGCTGGAGAATGAACCAAGTGCTCACCTATTCCAATCTCTCCACAATGGGAGGGTTCTGTTACTACAGAAAGTGAAAGAGGCAGAAATATTTTGAAGCATATCTGTTCAAGAATTTTTCTCTTCTGACTTAGGGTCCAGGTTATTATGATACTCTTAGCTCATGGCTAGCATGAACAAAATCATGGCAATTGTTGCAAATGAAAAGGAACATAATCCATATATAAATGGAAGAATATTTTAGCGTAGAAATCTGGACAGATCAGGGTTTGAATTCTAGGCCCATCACTTCCTCACTGTGTGATCTTGGGAAAATTATCTATTCTTTCTTTCTTTCAGCTTTTTCATCTTTGAGTATAATCATTATCGATTTCACTTTCCTTTCACTCCTCTTCTCCTCCCTTTGCAAGAATATTTATTGAAGTCTGTTCTCTTTCCAAGCACTTTGCTGGCTGCTTAAAGATAGAATGTTGAGCAATTCTGCTGGTGTCTTGGCTTGGAGATTTCAGGCTCGTGGGGTTGTTGTGAAGAATAACTGAGATAGTGTATGTCAGTTGATGCATTTGAAGTATCTCAGTCATTATTGGGGTCCTCCTTCTTGCCAGTTGCCCAATCATGCAACTTGTTCAGAGGCTCAGGAGAGTAGAGTAATGCATTATTACCTTTCAACACGCAAAAGGTTTAACAGACATTTAATTCTTTGACTTCACATGATTTTACTCTGTTGCCATTTTGTAGATGAATACAAAGGGGACAAATAAGCGTCAACTCCCTGGGCTGTGATATGACAGCTCTTGTAAGTGGAAGCATTTCAGACATCAT